ATTTGGCTATAATAACATTCGACCTTCATATGATCGGTAATACGATCTTTTTTAAATATTCGGATCCCAGAGAGTACAAGTATGGTTTTTGTTCGATAAGATGATTTCATTGATACGTGGTCTTCGATTGGAAAGTTAAACAAAAACTATGTTTAACAACAAGTCAATTGATAAAATTGTAAATTATACGTTGTCGGTGTGACACGATAACTTCATGGTGATACACCTGCGTCGTTTTTTGGTCGTATCACCTGGATTTTAAGATCTAAACTTGGGTTCAGGTGTTCCCCTGCATGTATTTGGTAGCACTTGGTTGCTGGGTCCTTGCACTTGTTTCTCTTTGTGAATTAAACAATTTAGGTGTTGGCAAGTTTCTGTCCATGATGAACTAGTGCTGAAAGATTTTTGTTCGGTTTTTTGTCCCTTTTTCGACATTAATAGAAACAATCGATAAGTAGTCTTGATAATTAGACAGTGATTTTTTTTCAGCTTTTTAAAGACACCTTTAAAATTAAAAAAAAAAAAAACCTAGAAAAACTTTTGATACCATCCGTACCCACGATCTCTTGAATCTCAGGTTGGAGGATTTGCGTACTGCGCATACTCTAAGTCACTCATGATTGACAGGAAAACAATTTTCATGTAGTTTTACAAGATGGTAAAAATTATAAAGCACCTGTAGAAAGGAATAACTGTGGATTGTTAAGGGCATATTTTTTTGTTGATTATTGAAGGATATCACAGTGTATCGCTGTGATTACTAACACGGTTGCAGGGTACCAATTGAAATTGTACAACACATACGCCTGCAGTAACTCACCTCAAAGCGAAGCCAATCCAAAATGGAATTTTATTAGCGAGAACGCCCAAAAGAAGACTTTCTTCCCGACAAAAAAAAAACAGAGACATATTGTACTCGTACTTGAGCTTATCGACCCACATTCCACGGTATTAGCGCTCAACGGCATCGTACACACGCATAGGCACAACACCTCCAAAGTCCCCGAACGCGGTGAAAGTTCAAGCTGCACTCGCGACACATCCACACGCCGAAAGTTCGATCGGCACCTGTACCGCACGCAGGAGAAACTATTTTACGACTCCATCGAGAACGTAGATTACTCGAGCGAGCCGTTGTATTTAAATCATTGACTCCGAAGCTCTCGGTCCGCGGGTAAACGACATCGAGGAGAAACTCAATATTTCAGCCCAATTGAGTAAAAACCTTACCGATCACCGACACTACCCCCTTGGGGATGACTCCGCGAGCTAATGGAAAGCGCTTGGAATGTATATTTACGTGCACGCACTCGGGAAGTCTTTTGGATTTCTACCCGATCTATAACACCGGTAATTTTTCATCGGCCGTACGAAATATCGCACGCGGTTTTTTTTTTTTTTTTTTTACTCTAGCGGATCTCGATCTCAACGGTATAGCGACGCGCATGGCCGATTCCGCGCCGATTTATCGGGCTTTGGTAGACCAGTACTCGCGAGTCTCTAATCGTTATCGCGCTCCAAGGGGCAATTATACACCAGGCGATGAAAGCTTCGTGTTATAATGCGCACTTGTGCCGTCAGAGCCGTTGTTATTGTTTTCTTGGAAAAGAAGAAAAATCCTCGATGGAGGAGATGTTGAAAATTGCGAGAGATCGAGCCGATGCGTATATAAATGCGTATACGTACATATTATACACACGTGTGTAATTCGTTTCGCACTCGCGCGTTCGGCGAAGGGGGGTGGGGAGGCGTCCGCTTTCTCCGCGTGCGAGCGGATCGTCTGCCGTTGTTGTTCCTTCCTTCTTGGCTCGTGCGTGAACCGAGTACCGACGCGCCTTGGAGGATCGTCTCTCTCTCTCTCTCATTGTCTCGCTGGGCCGGATTCGTGCAATTTTCGACACGCGATCGGCAACGCCCACGAAAATCGGCGCGTCTCGGCTCCCCTTTTCTCTCGCGATGGACGAGCCAAAGGGAGGCTGGCTACCGCCAATGAGAGAAAGCCGATGCTGCCACGATTTATGCATATCGAGTTCCATCCGTAATTGTCGATGCGTTTGCGGCTTGAATCATTATACGTGTGGACTTTTGGAGGAATTAATTGCTGGTCGTCGTTGTTTCGCGAATCTTATGATTGTGGTGTGGATTCAATGAGAGATAAATTTCATCGCCGAGTGCGGAAGCTTGATTTATTAATGGCCATTCGTATTTGGTTTCATCGTTGAGCAAACGTATCTTTGGAATGGCCATTCATCTTTGTTTCGTTGAACTCATTCGTTGCTTTTTTTTTTGTTTTCACAATCGGCGAAATCCTTAATAATTAAAAATATTTATACCCACCGTACGATTACCATTTTCCACTTTTAGCTAGATATACTTTATCGATCGTTTCAACAAGTAATTATACAGTTATTAAACAATATTGCGTTAGATCTTCCAGTAAAGTAACCCATTGAGGCTGAAAAACACAAATGAGTACACAACTCGGCGGTGACAATAATCATTTGCTACAAGGAAATTGGTATATAGGAGTTGATTTTGAACCGACAAAATTTGACGCATATTTGGCCTCACATGTGTAACTAATTTATCCACGAAGAGATACACACGCTGTAGATAATGATACGAAGAAAGAAAGAAAAAAAAAAAAAATTTTATGGAGCTCGTGTATTCACCTGTACCGACAGACGCGTACCCATTAATATAATTTTATTCACAAAGCATCGGTACACTCCTAAAAATGTCCAACAAGGCCGAATCTCTCGAAAATCATCAATCCTCGAGTCAAATTTTCACTCCGCAGCTAAATGACACCTCACAGCCATCATCTGACTCGACCCCCATCCTTTTGTCCAACTCGAAGGGGGGTGTACAAGTATACAAAAAACACATGCAAATGTCCGAACGGACGCAAACACGACGGGACTCTTTTCTCCATCGGATTTCAGTTCCGGGAGAACGTCTCTCTCTCCCTCGTTTACTTTCACTTATTATGTAGCTGGATATGACGCAAACTGGGCTTCGGACGCTGCTCGCCGGGCTCTTTTATTTTTCATTTCGTGCATAACACGGGCGCGTTCCTCCTCATTTCGTTCGACTGCTTTTTTTCTCTCTTTTCTTCTCGAACGCGTTGCTGCACACGAAAAAAAAAAAAAAAAAAACTAGGACGCAGAGCCGTAAAATCCCTCGTTTCACGGCGTCCGTATCCTTGTGCGTCGAGCCATCCACGCCTAAATCTAGATTTGCCTGCAGCCTCATTAAAACCCAAGACCCGATTTCTCGCCGTGTCAAAGGATCGCTGGTTTTGTATATAGACACCGATCCCCGAACCTTTAAGGACTGCGCGTCGAAAGTCGACGTTCGGGCACTCCCCGACGTCCATCCGTCATTATTGCGCTCCGCGTGTGGACGACAGCGTTGTTACACAAGGACGAGCCCCCCCTTTTTTTTTTTACTACGCGAACGAGATTTCTTTTCTCGCGTCCCGGAGCGGCGATCGGTTTTTCCTCTTCGTTCGCGCCCATCCGCGTTTCCGCCTTTGATGTCCAATTAAGCGCCTCGGAAGGGCAGCCACTCGGAAAATTCGGAACTTCCTCCCTTCCTCCCGTACTTCTCCTTGGAGGGAGAAAGTTCGCCGATATCCGAGGAGGATGCGTGCGAAAGTGACGCAAATAAGGGGTGTATTGAGCGCCGTTGGAATCGAGGGGAGAGGATGGGTTTTCCGAGCGGGTCCTCGCGATTGTTGCATCTTTTGTGATTTCGAGTGAGTGTATGTACGCGTTACGTCAGAAGAGTTACGTATACCCGGCAATCACACTATTTTTGTGGATTAAAGTGCACGGAGTAGGAAGTCTCGCTGGTTTAAAAGCGCGTAACTGAGGCTCGTTTTTTTTCGGACTTTTCGTGGTGATGACCCGAGGAATTTCCTTTTGACTGATGGACAAAGATTGTCTACCTGGATGTACACCCTGTGCCCCATTGAATTTCGCTCGAGTGACGAGGGCTTGTAACTTTGTGGAAACTGGGTCTGCTGGTTCATTGGAGCGTTAATCCTTGCGTTACTGTAATAGAGTAGGACACGGTTATGTCTATACGCTTGATAGAAACAAAAAAATAGTATAACAAAAAAAAGTATGTCGACAGTTCTTTTGAACAAATATGTAGCTTCTCTTTCCTTTCGTTCTTTGAAATTTCCTTCTGAGTTCCGTTACCTTGTGATAACCATTGCATACAGTAACCATATAGTTAGAAGTTGTAAGTGGTGAATTAATATTCAGAATATTTTTTTTTTCACACAACAGTTATTTTACATCTTTACCTGGTATTAACAATTTATAATCTTTACACATTCATACAATTATTTCGTAATAGTGAGATTCATTTACTTTAACGACGGTTTTCTTCGTAATATATTTCGATTACCTTATAATTTTGTTGATGAAATTCTACATTGTTGAACCGACTGAGACGTTAAATCGCTTGTGATTTATATCCTAATTATTATGGGACATGAAATCGAAAATCAGAGTTAGATAATTTCTGGCATTATATTTCAATAAAGCGTAATAGTTACAAACGCAATTCTTGAAATGTTTTAATGTTGTTTTAATGCACTTTATAAGTATTTTGTTTATTTGAATTAATTTTTCTGAATTTGTATTCAAATAAACGTTTGTTCAGATAAAAAATTTCAAACTAAAAATTTTTTATTTCAACTTGTTACACTAGAGAAAGAATATCCACAAAAATCCCAGTGGTCCCAACCATATACGTGTATAAAACCATGAAAAGCTTAATATTTCAACGACTGATTCATTACGATATTTAAGTACTATCAACTTTTCGAACCCTCATTATGTCCTCAAAGTAATCGCGATCGATTAGCCATTGCCATAGAAGCCAATACCACCTTTGATCCGATTTCCCGGTACTTGAGCACACAAGAAGGAGAATAAAGTATTGGTGACGTGTAATTGTAATGTTTGTCGTTTTGCAGCAATAAAATGCTGATAACGAAGCCATGCAGCCGCCTACTGATCTGCATCATCCTCGGCCTCCACACGAGCTCGAGTCGCGCCACCAGCGCAAGCCCCTCCGCCTCGACGTCCCTCGCCACACTAACGTCGTCGTCCATCGACAGCAGGAAAACCATCAGCTCATCGCCGTACAATGACCACAATGCCACTGCGACCCCGGCACCACCGAGCACTCGGGCCCGCCGGAAGCGCTTCGTGCGATTCCCCGCACTGCCCCCGAGCTACGTCCTGGAGGGAGCACCACCCCCGCCGTTGCTCCCCGTAGTCCAGCAGGCGAGGAGCGTGCGTTTCGCGGGGCCGTACCCGAGCTGGCGGCAGCAGAAGTCGTACTGGAGGCAGCACCTCGGACCCGGCGAGTATCCAAGCAGGCCCGGGGCTCCCGTGATGGGGCACAGGACGCCGAGGCTGATCTTCCGGGACAGCGACTTTGGCCTCGGGGCCAACAACTTCTTCCAGTCGAATCAGCTGCCCGACATCGAGGAGGATTACAGAGGTGAGGATTGGGGAGGACAAGCGGGGCTGGCTATGCCAGTGGGTGGGTGACTTATATGTGTTGTAGGGTTTTAGGGATTTACGATGAGATGTCGAGTGGGAATGTAGTTGGTTTTTTTTTGTTTTTGTATTTTTCGAACCTGGACATCACTTTGGTGTAATTCTTACCCTTTGTCACCTCTGCGTGGAGGGTGTTCATTCTAAAACATGTCTAGTCAACCCTTACCCTATCTGTTACTACCCAACTAAATACATAACTCCAATCCCAACGTTCCAAAAAAAACTCTCCTTAAGCCTTGTTTTCACCTCTACCTCGACCTTTCAAACTACCTCTGCCCTACCCTCCTAACCCACGGAGCCTTTGAGTTACCAAACTGAACTGTAATCGCAACTACTTCTAGTAAATGTATTTTTTTTTTTTTTTTTTATTTTAAAAATTTTATTTTCCTACAAATGTATTCATAAAGTTTAGTTTGAGGTTGAAATCTGATGAGAATATAAAGTTACTTGGTTTTATAAGGTTTTCAAACAATTGCTGTTTGTTTTAAACGATGGAGAAAATGAGACCTAGAATAAGGATTCGGTTGTTTACGTACATTACAGTTGGCTTGGATTTTATAGATAATTAAAAAAAAAATTATTCCCGTACCTCTTTATTAACCATCAACAATATTGTAATTTTTCGACAGCTTACGGAATAATACATTTTAAATATTTTTTCGTGAACCGATGCAGTTTTTTGGAGTATACATATGACACGATACGTATTTAAAAATTAAACACGAGACGAAACATTCCTTATTTAAGTTGATGATTTATTTATGTTTCCACATGGATGGATTAATACGTACGAGTTTAATTTCGGAAGAAATCACGCGCTAGTCTGATTATCTTGTTGGCACACGTCTTTACTTACATTTGACACGACGTATTCAGCGAGAGTCGAGACATGTATAGGCAAATGAACTCCTTGCGATCTCGTACTCGCAACTTTTCTCACTTTTTCGCGAATGCACGCGCGAGGCTCAAGAAAATCCTGACCCGGCGAAAACCTCAGAGCTATATATATGTGTGCACCCGTCTCCAGCCGGCTTGTTACACATTCAGTGCTCGCGTCTTCCCCGTTTTAATATGTAATAAGCGCAAGAGCCGGCCTCTAATCACCAACGCGAATCACGAAATGAACACGCGCTCACGCGTTTAATGTACATACAAAACTTGGATGCCCGTAGTTGCTGAAATCCCAATGGGTATACATATATGAGGTGTAGCGGCAATCGGATGCTGAGATCTTTAATTATGTAAATACATTGAAATCCGAGTGTGCACACAAGTACTCCAGATCCAGAGTAACTCGGGCAGAGAAAGCAGCGCCGCGAGTCCTCGGATGATAAAACTATTGGGCAAAAGCGAAATCGCGGAGTCTTTTTCCTCATTTTGCGGGGTTTTAATTTTTATACGCTGCAAATCTTTTTTTTTTCTGCCTATGAATCGTTGGGAGATTAGCTGTAGAAGATTTCGTGCTTAGCTTGCGGGGGTTGAACATGGAAATTCTCGTAGGTATAACTCATTTGTTCGGTATAATACGCAAGCGATCTCGGCGTGTTTTCGATTTTTCTCGTCGATTGTATGCCACGTAGAACACGTCTATAGTGCAAGTTTTTCAATTGATCGAGTAAATTGTTCGTATTTGTATGTGGGGCATATAATTCCAATGGAATACTCAATTTACGACTCAATATCTTTCTGATCACGTTGGACTTGAAATTTATATAATTTACTTCCCTATGGTTAACGCAACTTTTATTGCACAATTCAAGAGAAATAACTACCCCACAATGTTAACAAATAAAATATTTTGTACATCCAATTGAACGTTTTATCACACGCTGTTGATGAACTAATACCACCAGAAAAGTAGTTTCAAGTAAGTGGTTAATCCAAATCGAGATAAGCTCATGTTCAAATGACAATTTATTTTCTCTTATGCATACAACAAGACTATTTTAATCCCAATTAATTTGGTCCTTCTACTTGTCTTTCTGCAGAAGTGGACATCATAATAATTATAAAAATACACTAGCGTTGTATTGGTCAAGGAGAGATTATTTTATTGTAAAAAAATTACACATAGCTGACGCTGACCTCGTTGGAATATTAATCTACAGTAATAACAACATTTCCTATCGCACAACCACTCGCGGAACATCCAACATGTCGTTATTGTAATGTATGAATATAACATGTACTTGATACGCTAAAGAACTGGGTTACACGCACTTCTCACCTTGTAGGTGGCAAAGTTTTCATCGTATTGCATCATGTCAAACCATTACATACGAAATACGCACAATTGTCAAAACAGTCCTTACCTCTCGAGCAGTTTTTACAGATATGATGTACATTGCCATTGTTCTTTCCACCTTATTAGTATTAGACACAAGGCCTATTCGTTTCGGTATAATCACAAAGGTCGAGGAATGAAACGTGACCTTTATACCAAAGTAAGTTGTTGTAGCTTTTTAATTGAGGTAAAATCATTTGATTTTGCCAAATGTTTCTTTACAATTACCAAATCAATTACTTGACTACGTTGTTCTGATGAAATATTCACTAGCACCATGTGGTAAAACGTTTTCCTTTTTTTTTTTCTCCCCGTGAATAATAATTGATGGCACTTTAATAATTACAAAGGCTAACTGAATAAATAAATGTCTCATGCAACGACTATTGTTTCAGATCATCGAAAACAGACATTTAATGAATATCCAAGGCTTGAAACAGGTACGTAAAACTAATCCATTTTTTAAATGATTATACAATATTGTGCAACGTAGTTCACTTACTTTCTTTGTAGGAGAAACACTAAAACTTAAGATTCTACGAAAGTTTTAAATCCCAGATAATCAGTACCGAAACGGGAAATAAAATCTTTTGGATAGTTTTAGGAAGCAAAAATGTGCGATTGAATGTATTTCATTTTGGTCGGCTATCGCAATGTCTCGGTTGTAGTTTCGTTTCGTAAAATAGATACTACTATTATTTCGGTCAATTTTTTGTCTCCACCAATTCTCATTTCACACTTCGGTGCATCTAAATGTTATTTAACTTTTTAATGACTGTAACGAAGATCGTAGTAAAAAGTAATTTTTAATGGACTTTTTTTTATACTTGTGTTAAAAATGTGGAAATCGGAGCAACGTTAAAAATGTGAGTCAATCAATGTTTCAAATGTTTTTGAATATCAGAGTTTGATTTTGACATAAATCTGGTAAATTGTAGAAAAATTTTGGACCCATTTTTGTTGACAATATACTGTATTGTTACTATAAAAAAAAAAAAAAAAAATAAAAGTTTTGCTAATACTTTTATTTTGGATTTTAATAAAGAAACTTGCTAGATACGTACATTTTTTTCAATTTTTTTTCTTTTGCTCGCAAGAAATTATCAACTATCAATTTTTAATTCAATAAAATAATAGTGAGAAAAGAAAGTTGGGCAAAAGTTTTTATTAAGATATTCGAAGCTCGTAGCATTTATTCTCAGATATACAATTGGCATTCGGTAAGTTTTTTAGTATCAAACAATTTCCAGAAGTATTGAAATTTAGTGTTTTTTTTTATTCCACTTAGAAACGAGCACAACTTGTTTTGTTGTACTTTAGATTAGCTCTCATTCTCCTAAACTTTGCGATCAACTCATTCATTTATTGACACCATTTGGTAGCTACTTTTCGATCTTCTTGCATAGTATCCCATTTCATCAAAATCTATTTAAAAAAAACTGTAGAAAGAATTTCACATTTAATGATCTCTTGTATCAAATACCGTAGCCAAAATTAAAACTACCAAAAAAAAGTATGTCCCTCTGGCCCTTGAAAAGAGAAAAAGCAATAAATTATGTTCTGGCAGAGCCGCGGAAAGAGAAAAGACCGTTGTGGAAGGGTGACGATTCGTTGTGCGCCGACGGACGTAGCTGCGAGTTTTTTCTAATGTGCTGGATGTCGGCGGGCTTGCTCGATGGAAACTGCGGCGGTCTAATGTACGCCTGCTGCCATCGGCCGAAAGACGCGGCCAAGGCGAGCAATGATTACAGTTACCTCGAGCAAGAGCCAAGGGATCAGATACAGTCCTTGGGCACGGACTCTTATTTGGCCGCTGAGACTGTGACCACCCAAGACGTCGACGAGCGTAAGTTCACCACCATCATCATCAGCCGTTGCTGCTGCTGCTGTCCCGTGATTCCCTTTCTCACTCTCTTCATTTCCGCATATATATATATATATATTTTTTTTTTTATCTTGATACCGATGCTATGGATGAAAAAAATTGTTTAGAAAATATTTGCAAACGAAAAATATTTTTTTTATACAGAATTTCGGACGTACGATTTGTTTTGAACTCAAGAATTAATATTTCGATGTGCACGTACTACATGAATACATTTTTTGAAACATTTCAATGGCATTCGATACATTAAACATACAAAATTTCCTAAATAAAAATTGATGCATACATTGATATTTCATTGGAAACTTGAGTTTGTTTATAATGATGTTCTTTTAAAAAATACATCTTTTTATGTTTTCCTGTTGGTAAATGACATTACATTTTCTTTAAAAATAACATATACTTTTACAAGGGAAGGTTTATCATCCATTATTTTATTTTATTTATTTTTTTTGCAAATAACAATATTTTAAGTCAAAATATTTTACGGTACATTGATTTGATAATACAATTTTTTCGTCACGCTCCAGATCTGCAATTTTTTTCGTTTATAGCGTTTGTATGTATTTTAATGTACATACCTATGACGTGAGTTATCAAATCCAATCTCTCGACCCCTTGACTTGACTGCTGCCAACGTCGCTCTTTGTAGATTCATGGGGGTCGTATTGTGTTAGAAGGGAGATGGTGTATGGCATGGATTATTTAACATGTATAGTGTTAACATATGTTTATACTGTTTTTCAAGAATTATTTTAGCAAAGTAAAGCTTTTACTAAGTAAATGAAATATTTGATCTTTACTCTGTACGCATGTTGGAAATTTGGATTATACTTGCTAATAAATAATGCATTGCGTGATGATGGTTTGAATACCAAATCTCTTTTATTTTTTTCTACGGCTTTCATCGTTTCGTTATAATAGCAATAAACAATTATGAGAGGATATAATACTCACGTTCTGCGAATTACCATGTATTAATCATAATAGTTGTGATGGATTGAAGTAACTATAACATTTTTCCAGATAAATATAAATAATTTTTTCTTTACTCGTACGATAAAAGGAACATCGATTGTCATGGATATATTCACTTGAATGATTTACTTTAAGTGTAACTGAGAAAAATAATTCATGAAAAAAATTAATAACAAAAGTCACACTTGAATATTTAATAGAAAATGTAAGTCGTGTTATTATCGAGAGAGTTATAAAGCTAAGATAACCCATAGGATAAAGTTATTAAACACATTAGTGTTTCTTTACAATAATAGTATGCACTTGTTGCAAAGCACATTAAATTTGTATACGATTTAAAAAAAAAAACGTATTGCCAAGAAAATTATGATACATGTCAGTACTAAACACAAAATAAATGAATACTTAAAGGTCTTTAGGTTAGGAATAAGTAATATAAAATCTTTAAATATAGATGAAATTTAACTCTAGTAAATAAAAACGTAGACTTTCTGGTAGATATTGGTAATGCAGCACTTTGATTTGTATGTATTTACATTATACTGATTATACTTAAGGACGTTCAATAATTGCTTTTGTTTATTTTACTTCATTATTTTTTT